TGCTTTGGCTTGGGGAAGGAGCCCTGCACAGCACCGTCTGCACAGCGTCCTCATCCAGCTCCCACAAGCCTGAGACAGTGAAGAATTAAAGCTGTGCTGCTCCCCAATGCGCTGCAGCCTCAGCACATGAGGCACGCTGGGATGGTGAACACCCCCGGAAGCCTCTTCTCACCGTCACTGCCATAACCCTTGGTTTCCCTCACTTGTATGTCCACAGCATTGTTTTGGGGGGGAATTCATTCCAAGTTCCCAAAGCAAACGGGCACTACAGTCAGCCAGGAGCAACACAACCTGGCAGTGCCCTGGAGTGGCATGAGCTTCCCCTTGTGATTTTTGTCCTGGCACAACCTGGCCATCCCCTCCTTGTGTGGGACACTGCCAGCATGTATTTGCAGTGGCATGGTCAGAGGCTATACCCTTCCTGCGTCCATAAAGGTACCCTGAGGCACCACGCCACGCCAGGCTGCGGGGCAGCTCCTGTGCAGCAACGGCACAGGACTGCAGCCGTAATTCAGGGAGATTGCATCTGCCCACACTTGCATTTTAAAGGCTGAAGCACGCCCCTGCCCAGAAGCTGGTTTGGGTGGCGGGCAGCTGCCAGGCTGCTTGGGAGCATGGTGGAGGGAGCTAGCAGAAAGGACATACTTGGGGCAGAGGACAGCCCCTGGCGGGACCAGCTGGGGTGCATGGGGACAGGCCACAGGAGTGTCTGCCAGACCCATGCCCTAGTCTCGTCCCCTGGCAAGGTGGCCAGATCCACGCCGGGATCTTGAGAGGCTCTTTGGGAGCTCAGGGGACAGAAGCCACCAGAGACCTGACCCACTCGATAGCTTTCCCGTGAAGCCCCAGCTTCGAACGGGTGTTTTCCTAGGGTGGCAGGCTGCCACTGCCTTCCCTCAAAGTGCTTCTCCCCCTGCCCAGCACTAATGAGTGAGTTACACAATGAGAAGCTTTTATACTTCGTTAATCAGTGCCAGCATCGCACTCGAGCCCCCCTCCCCTCCGCACATGCTCCAGCCGGCCAGCAGCCCTCTGGTTCCCTCCTTCCCTCTCCTCATCTGCCTTTTGTAATGTTCTAATGGGGTTTCTTGCCTGGTTTGTGCTGACTTAATTAAAATGCTGCAGTGAGTTGATGCCTTGTGACGGCCTAATCCCAACCCGGTGACTCTACAAAGCTTTCGCCGGGCTTTCTTGCTGCTCCACTCCAGCTTCGCTGTCCGTGTGTCCGTCTCTGCTCCTGCGGCCCCCAGCCCCACGCACTGACACCTTGAGGACGGTTTAGCTTTTCCTTTCTCTGGTGAGTATTTGAGAGTCTTTCTATCTTAACTACTTTGCCTCAGAGACCATAATCCAGCCCTCTTTAACCTGTCGCCTCCAGGGCTGTGTTTGCTTTTAGTTTGCAATACCTCAAAAAAGTGGCTCTCATCCCTCCCCAGGGTAATAGTTTCCTGGCCTTGCAGCTGATGAGGAAGAGGAAGCCTCTGGGAGGTGCTAGGTTCCTTTTGGTCATGCTAGAGTCCAGTCTTTGGCGGCAGGGCTGGCTCAGGGTGGGGAGGAGATCCCTGGGTCTGCAGGCAAGCATCCCACCATGGAGGGGCTGCACGGCTTGGCTTCTTGCCCCCGCGCCCAGCTCCTGCACTTGCTCTCGTGGTGGGATAGGCTCCAACCCCAGAAGGAGCACAGGGCTCTGCCTCCACGTTGTTCTCCCCAGGGCCCTTCCTCTGCTTCCTGATTACCTCAGGGTGCAAATCGCAGAGAGACAGCAGCTCATGCAGAAAGCTGGCAGCCGTGGCAGCGGAGCTGGGTCTGCATGGAGGGAGGCCGTTAGTCTCTGCAGTAGGATCAGGCATTGGAGTGATGAAGGCAACCCCCCTCCCTGTGCGCAGAATCAAGATGTTTCACTCAGAACGTGTCAAAAAGACGCCAAGTTGTTTCACCACCCAGCAGCTAGAGGTCCATTCTTAAAACTGGTGATGGGCTCGGGAGTGGAGTAGCAGGGCCTTGAGTATTCGAGCGAATGTTTGCAAAACACCTCAGGGATAATGTGGCAGTAGAAATGAAAGGTCATAAAACCACCAGACTGCCTGGAAGGCCACTCTGCGCTAAGAGTGCAAAGAGGAAGTGTTGCCTGAAATGTTGCTGCGTCATCCGCAATGGCTCCAGGCAGAGGTCCTTGCTGTAGCCCTTGGACTAGTGTGCAAAGATCCCCAGCATCAAGGAGAGCCTTTCGGAAGTGGGAAGACATCTCATTCACAGACTGCTCCCATCAGCTCAGCTAGGGACTGTGGGCAGCACTGGATGCACAGATGGGTCATCCCGTGAGGACTCGCCAGGCGAGAGCTCTCCAGACTTGTGTGATGTGTCAGGAGCAGCGTGCCCCCCGTGTCAGCCACGCTGATGTGGAACCTCTCCTGCTTCCCATATGTCGTAAGCTGGGCATTTATGTCTGCCTGTATGAATATGCCTGAGGTGAAACAGTGCTAGATGAGCTCAGGGGGTGGTGGGTCCCTGTGACTTATTGAAACCCATGGATGCATCTGCCCACAACCTCCAGTGGAAATGCAGGCCCTGAAAAAAATGAGGGAGCCAGAAGGTCAAAAGCCACACTTTTAAGCCGCTTTTGCAAACTTCCCAGCTGTTTCTCAAACATGCTCAGCGTCCGTTGGGCAGAAAGGGACACAGGCACTATGTGACCTAGCCGAGGAGGGCGAGAATGTCTGCTGGGAGTCTGCCTCCTTCCCAGCATGGTCGTTGCCATCCTATCTGAGCAGGGTCTGGGCAGGAGGGGCAGGGGATCTGGCCAGGGCATTGTGTGCTAGCACCAGGGCTCTGCAAGGGCTTTGAAGGCCTTTGGAATCCTCCCACTCTTCCCTAAGTAATATGGGATTCCTCCTTCTCTCTTTCAGCGTCTCGAGGCCAATAACGGACGACATGTCTGCAGTTGTGAGTACTGCCTCCACACCTCCCCATCCCTGGGCTCTGAGCATCTCCTCTCTGCGTGCTGGGCACCCAAGCACCCTTTGTCCGCCATCATGGTGGCTGCCACCAGCCCATGGCAGGCTGGGCTGGGTGCTGCGGGGAAGCACTGGTGACTGCCCTGTGTGCAGCCTCAGGGAGCCTTGGCTGGCACAAAGCTCTCCCCACCCCAGACCCCATCTCATTGCATCCCCTCAAATGCAGCGTGGAGGTCTTGCCCTTCCCCATAGCCCCCAGCTCAGGCCCTTCGCCCCAGCAGGGTCCCTTGCCGCTATGGGACTGGTGGTGGAGAGATCGCGTTGGCGGGGGGGGCGTAGCGTGGAGAGCCTGCTGCGGAGGCGACATCAGCCCCACAGCCTCTCCTCGCCCCCAGACGGGCACGTTTCGCATCGTCTCTGAGGAGGAGCAGGCCCTGCGCACCAAGCTGGAGCGCCTCACCACCAAGGACCATGGCCCTGTCTTTGGGCAGTGTGAGAAGATCCCACCACACACCCTGCAGAAGGTGAGGCCAGCGCTGGGCACAGGGAGGAGGCACAGCCCGGGGCACGCGCTCCTTCTCCAAGGGACGGGAATTAGCATGATCTGAGTCAGAAGAAATCTTTGTAAGCCTTGCAAGTGTGAGGGAACCACTTGCTCCCAGGAGGGATGGACTAGGGGACAAGTGGGGCCCATGGTGGGGCAGGACTGAGGTGACCCCACTCCAAAATGCCTTCAGTGAGCAGGACTGCAACCAACCGCTTTTGCTGCCAAAACGACACCTGCCCCCATTTTCTCTGAGCATGGTGCTGGTTTTGGGCCTCACGGCATGCTGCAGGTGCAGAGGCTGTGCTGAGCGGGCTCCTCTCCCCTCCTCAGGCGAAAGATGAGCTGAATGAGACAGAGGAGCAGCGGGAGGCGGCGGTGAAAGAGCTGCGAGACCTGGTGCGGGAGCGGGCTGGCAGCGGGGAGGACGTGTGCAAGGCGGTGGCCGAGAAGGTGCAGGGCAAAGACGACTCCTTCTTCCTCCGCTTCATCCGTGCCCGCAAGTTTGATGTCCACAGGGCCTACGAACTGCTGAAAGGTGGGGGCTCCCCGGCTCTCCTGTGGCACGGACCCCCATGTCCCCATTGCATCACCAGCTCCTAGGCAAGAACGGGGAGCCCTTTTGCCTTGGCAGCTCCCTGCTGCTTTCCAGGGCTTCCCAGTGCCCCTGGCCCTGGGCTCTGCCAGCAGAATAGGTCCCCAGAAGGGAAGGGTGGGAGGAGAGAGGATAAAGAGCAAAAGGCAAGGCCAGGGGTCTTGGGGCAGAGGGAAAAGAGGGTAGATGGGGAAGGTAAAGAAATCAGAGTGATACCAGGCTGGTACAGGCAGGGGGAGCTGCTGGGTGTCCAGCAAAATCAGGACAGTCCCACTTTTTGGTTATTTAACAAATAAAATGGTAAAAGTCTCTTTTGTGTGTTAGGTGGCGGCTGTTCCCAAAGCACTGACTCACTCTTTCAGCAGGGAGCCAGCTGATTTAGGGATGGAGGGGGAGCAGGAAGCAGCCCTGAGGGGGCAGTGGCAGCCCTGGGTCCCGCCTGGCTCTGCTCTCAGTCGCCTTTGTTTCAGCCTGGGGGATAATGAGTTGTAATTATCGATGCTGGCTCTGGAGACGAGCTGTTTTGTTCACCCATATTTTCCCAGGGCGAGTTTCCTTGTTTTATGCCTGAAGGTCCTTTGTGGCCGCTGGGTGCCAGCAGAAGCAGAGCTGGCCTGAGGCGGGTAGCTGAGGGATGTCACCCAAGCGTGGAGCTGGGGAGAAGGGTAATGAGGGGGAAAATGACTTTATCTGCTCCTTGAAGAGCCTGGGAGAAGGCAGCTGTGAACTCGGTATGTGGGGAGTTTCCAGCCCCTGACATGAGGGAGATTACACTGAAGGCAGTTGGTCCGCAGCACTTCTCTAGGCCCCTCTGCCAGATGAGACCTGACCCACCTGGAGCCTGGGCACAGCCTTCAAGAGCAAAGCTGTTCATCAGGAACACATCTCACCAACACCAGCCTGCCCCGTCCTCTGGCAGCTCCCTTGCAACTCCTCTGGGTTCCTGAGGACGGGGCAAGGAGCCACTCTTGCTCCCAACCCCATTTCTGTCCCTCCCCAGGCTACGTGAACTTCCGTCAACAATACCCTGAGCTCTTCGACAACCTCACCCCCGAGGCCGTACGCAGCACCATTGAAGCAGGCTACCCCGGCATCCTGGCCAGCAGAGACAAGTATGGCCGGGTGGTGATGCTCTTCAACATTGAGAACTGGGACTATGAGGAGATCACCTTCGATGAGGTCAGCTCAGCCCAGCCGTTGCTCCAGAAGCAGAGCAGTCCCTGGGTTGTCCCACTTGGCACATCTGAGCACAGCATCCCGTACACACATGCACCCTCCAGACATCTAGATTTAAGCAAAACTGCAACCCTTTGAATTTATCCTTTTGGGGACTCACAAGGCACTTCCTGACATAGTGCAGGTTGCAGGCCAAATTCAGGGTGTGCCTTTCCCAGCCCAGGCAACGCATGGGTTGAAGAAAAGCACTGCATCACTAAATCACAGATCACTTTACAAAGGAAGGAGCCCATAGGCCAGAGGAAACTGAGGTATAGCGCAAGGAAAGGGCTTGTTGGCAAAGAGGTCTCCAGGCATGTAACTCACAAGTTCTCCTAACTCCGTTTTCTGCTCAGCTCTGAATTTGCTTGCACATGTGAGAATCATTGACCCAGATCTGAGATGCACCCACCTTGAAAGGGAAATGTGGTAGCTGTTGAGCCCTCCCTGATCTCAAGGCCTGGGGGCTGGCTGTGACAAGCAGGCTGGAGTTGGGCAGACCTGGGGTAACGTTCCCTGAGACTGTTCCTTGGAACATCCTGGCATCTACAGGAGGGGAGACCTTGCTGTCACACACTAACACCAGACCCTCCCATCTCTCAATCAGATTCTTCGTGCCTATTGTGTTATCTTGGAGAAGCTGCTGGAAAATGAAGAGACACAGATCAACGGGTTCTGCATCATTGAGAACTTCAAGGGCTTCACTATGCAGCAGGCATCAGGGATCAAACCCTCTGAGCTCAAGAAGATGGTGGACATGTTGCAGGTGAGGTGGCAAGAACTGTGCCCAGGCAAAGCTCAGAGCAGTGTTGGAGCACGCCCAATGGAGCAAAGAGCTCAAGGAAGGGAAAGGCAGTGCTAGCAGGGGTTTGGGGTTGCCACTGCATTGATGCCAGGAGAAAGCTTTGTGGAGATGCTGTTCACCATCACATGATTATTTCCTTGCTGGCTAATTGGCTTAATCCTGCAGGATGGATCCTATTTTTCTGGCCCCTGCTCCCCACCCTCTGAAAAGCCCAACCAGAAGTGTTATCATCACTTCTTACAGCATCCTACAGCATGGCAAGGAGGTCTTTCCTCCCCACTCTCTCATCCCAGCCATGGTTCAGGCTGGATAGAGACTCTCAGACACTCCAGGAATTCTGCCCTTGGACCAGAGGCTGAAGATGCTCAGCTCTCCCCAGGGGAGAAGGACAGCAGAGGTGCAGTATTTCTTGTGGAATGGGAGCAATGAGCCATCTGGGAGGCTCTTCAGACTCCTTGGTGCTACCACACTGCACATCCCATTGGACTGAGCTGTCCGATCCTCTGGGTCAGAGCGAAAAAGAGATCATCACAACAGGGGTCACAGAGAGAATGGGAGATTGGAAAGGAGGAGTTGAGAGGGTCCCAGGGTTTCTGTTGCTGCCCACATCCTCTCTTAGCTCCATGTGGTCAGCATGGTCTGTAACCTGCTGTGTATGGGTTTGGGATCCGTAGGACTCCTTCCCAGCCCGGTTCAAGGCTGTCCACTTCATCCACCAGCCTTGGTACTTCACTACTACCTACAACGTGGTCAAACCGTTCCTGAAGAGCAAACTGCTGGAGAGGGTGAGTGTTGGAAAGGGAACTGGAGGTAAAGGCACATCCTTTGTCCACAGCTGGCTTACACAGAAAAGCCAGGGGGCAACCTACTGTCTTCAGCATGTCCAGCCAGCGGCTGGAGAAGGTTGTGCTCTGCCAACCTGCCTGGGCATGTCTCCATGGCGTGGGGACAAGGTCGCAGCTGAGCGCAGCTGGAGGGAAGAGCTGTCAGCTCATTCGGGGAAGTGAGCTTGCAGCAATGCACAACAAAGGCTGTGGTTATGTTGATCAGAAAGGAGGCCAACCCGTCCCATCAGTGCTGCTGTCCCCTGGCCCCCTTCTTCCCTGGGGGTAGAGTCACCCAGCTCCTCTGCTGAGGGTTGCTCCTGTCTTGCACCAGGTCTTTGTGCATGGGGAGGAGCTGGAGTCCTTCTACCAGGAGATCAATGCTGACATCTTGCCAGCAGACTTTGGTGGCAATCTGCCTAAGTACGACGGCAAAGCAACTGCAGAGAAGCTCTTTGGACCCCGCATAGAGGCTGAAGACACGGCGCTCTAAACCAGGGTCCATTCCTTCTCCCCTGTAAAATAGGATCAGAAGTGGCTGTCTAGCCCCAGCCACCTCCTTACTCTGTAGCACTGGTTGAATGACTGCTCGTGATGAGGCGCTCTGGATGTGTTGTTCCTTGCCTGACCCTCCCCATCGCAAGCCTGGCAGTAGGCTGCCTGGCAGCCCTGTCTCTCTCTCAGGAAGAGTGTCCTTTCCTCAGGAGCCAGCAGAGAACAGAGGCCACCAGCACTTTCCTGCAGCACATCTTGAGGCTGCGATGGGAAGACAGGAGAGTGATTTCACTGAGAAGGGAGGGCTACAGCAAGGAACAAGCCCCTTTGCTCCAGCGCAACAGGAAGCGCAGAGGTCAGGCTGTGGCTAGAACGTGCTTTTCTCTGCTTCAGCCAGGCTTGGCCTTTATTTCCATGGGGCAAGGCAGCACGAGAGCACATCACCATAGCCTGGTCTGTATACTTATAGCCATTTACTGAGAAGCTCCTGGGTTGATTTATCAGCTCACCGCGAGGCAGCAAAAGCATGGAGAGGACAGGTGTTGTGGGAAAGCAGGAGGGCAGCCCCAGCTCAGCAGAAAGCCGAAGCATCCTGTGCAACTGTGCGGATAACACAGCCAGAGGCCGTCACTGCAGGAGACCCCCATGCAGGGCTGGTTGAAATGTGTACGCAGAGAAATAAAAAGAGTGTTTAACAGTAGAGCTTTTGGGTCTCTTGTGGCATGTGGCAGGAACAAGGGTGCAACTTGTTAGACGCAGGCAGGCACTGGGTATGCTGCTGTTTTTAAGGAGGCCAGGAGTGCCAGCATCTGGGAGGAAAATCCGTGTACCTGTGTCATTGACAATCAGATCTGAAAAGGCTGTTGTGGCAGAGGGGCCAAGGAACCAGCTTTCTCCATCCTCCCTGAATCCTAGAATAAGGTCCCCCTCCCAGCCTAAACAGGACCCTGAATTCTCAGTCCTCTGACTCTAACCAGGACAAAGAAGCCACCCTAAAGGATGCAAACAAGAACCCAAACAGGAACATAGATGGAGCTGGCTCTACCTAATCACCACTCAGCCAGGCACCCAGAGATGAGGAACAGAAGCTACAGCAGCCACTAAGAATAGATGGCTTTTAACCACAGTACAGTGAAAGCCAAGCAGAATGCAGCCTCTTAAACCCCTTAACACCACTGTCTATCTCCTAGCACTGCATCATGAGAGGGAGCCCAGATCTTCTAAGCAGTTCAGCCAGAAAAGCCCCATAAAAGGTAACCAACGAGAGGAGAGTAGGGCCTTCACAAGAGCTGTTCATGATCCTGTAACGGGTGGCAGTCCATGCTAATTCAGAGTCGGCAGCGAGGCAGATGTAGCTGTCTCAGGGAAAGAGATGGATTCTGGTTTATGAACCAGAAGTTCACAGGTGATGAAGCAAAAGGAAGCTCATCCAAGGAACATTAACAGATACCTAGTGCTAGACCACCTTCTCCTTCCGCGGCACCCTGGTGTGAGAGCAGGAGGGCCTGGAGAGAAGCAAGTCCCTGTTCTCTGCCCAGGACTTCATGGTTACCTTCCTTTCTGTCAATCCAGCATACTGCAGTGCACTCCATTACTCTCTTCCTCTCAGCTCTGCTACTACACACAGGTGCCTTTCATTAGCAAAGCAAAGGACCAGAACCCCATCTGAAGCAGTCTGAGGTGGAGGGTGCTCACAAGAGCTGCATTCACCAGGGCACTGGCTCAGACTCAAACCAAACAGGATGTCGGCTCTGAAACTGCGGGGAGGATGGGGCCTGTCTGGGCAGAAAGAGCTAGGGTTAAAACAATTTTCTCCAGCCTCAGCAGCACCACTGATTCACCTAAAACCACAGAGCATTGCGATTCCCAGCCTGAGGCTGGATCAACCTCGCGCAAGAGCCCAGAGGAAGACCAAAAGGCACTTCTTAGCTCTGTTTGGCTCATTACTCTCTATTACGTTTTCTATGGGACCAGGAAGCATCTGGAGAAGTCCCAGGGAAGCCATGTGAGAGCTGTACAGCTATCAGGCCAGTGCAAATACAACAACCCAGCTCTCCAAGCTGTTGTACCAAGGAATTATACCTCTTTTCTAAAGGGGAAAAAAAACCATATGCAGACACACAAAGCATCACACTCCTGCCTCTGGGATTCAGACTGGAACAGTTACAGCCCTAGGGAGATCCCTGTGGCCACTCCCCAGTGGCTGCAAACAGAACCAGAAGCAAGATGCATGCTGACCTCTGCTTCTTCCCCAGAGCAACTCCCACCAGGGGAGTTTTGAAGCAGAAGCAATGGCTAAACCACAAAGGCCAATAAACTAGAGATAGAGTTCAAAACACTTCCTCCCACAGAGCAATTATTGTTACAGGGGAGCAGCAGCAATGGTCCTGTCCCCAGCCCAGCAACCCCAACAGCTTACTAGTCTCAATTACCCTACTCACGTTTGTCTCACTTGGTCTGTGGGTGAAAAAAAAAAATATCCACACAGGAGAGCATTTAGCACCAGTAAAACACTGTTTCTGGTAGTAGCTCTCTCTGCCCTAGGCTCAAGCAAGTGGTTAACTATATATGCCATTTTCAAAGTGTCCTGGCCAGAAAGGCTGCTGTATATGTTTCTTTCTACCAGCCACTGAAAGATTAAGGGACTCCATTCAAATCTCCTGAGCCTTTGGCGAGCTAGGATTGACAGGCAGAAAACAGCTGGCAGCAGATGTTCGTATGCCTAGACAAGGTGCTTTCACAGCCAGCAGCTCTATTATGTGGTAGGGTACCATTTTCTGAGCACTAGTCACAACTGCCCTCAGGTAGCTGAACTGTGTGCAAGTCAGTACTGCTCTCTTCAAGGGAGGGCCCTCACTCACTGTCAGAGTTAAAACAGCAAATCACAATTTCTGCAGACATGCATGAGCCAAAAGCTTTGATGCACATCGCAGGAAAATCTCTGCCATCCCAAAGGAATCCTTCTGTGCACTGCAAGACACACTGCAGGCTCAGGACTGCTAGGTCCTGTACCCTTCCCTTAGGCCCTTAGTCTTGGCACAAACTGCAAGTCTCTAGAGCTTTCCTGCTGCCAGAGACCTAATAAGCCTTGGCAGAACCTAGGGATTGACACAGGACTGCCACACACAGCTTGCTTTCATCCACTGGCAGAAGTATCCTCTTATGCATTTTCAGGGTGGTGGTTGGCCTTTTAGCTAACTGGCATCTCCATTCTCCACAAGAGAGACTCCAAGGACCTCTGTCAGCAACAAGCCTCCCAGGCAACGGCAACTAGGAGAGGCTTGACCATCACTAATACTTGTGTCCCATGCTCCAACAGAGAAAGCAGGGAGGGGAGGATACAGTCACTGCCAAGTTTGCTCAAAGCTGCAGGCAGAGATAACACAATGGCAAGAGCCTGTCAAGTTAGCCCTAAGTTGCCCTTGGGGAAGGCTGAGCTGCTAAGCACTCTCAACTGCCAAGAAAGTCATGTAATCCTTTGGTCAAGGGCCTGCTAGACACCCCAGTGCTTAGCCATCAAGCAGGGCCCCAGCTGACTTGACATGCTCCTACACCATGTGAAACATTAGACTAACTTCTCCCCAGAGGCTCTCTGGAACGGAAAAAACAAAGGAAGACTTCAGCTAGAATTAGTACTGGGAGGGCATGGGGAGCATCACTCCATCCACATGTCACTACATACAACCCCTAGGCAGCATGCCTGGATCTACCACACTGCTCACTTCAGCAGTGAGGCTTATCAGGCCAGTGCAAATACAACAACCCAGTTCTCTAAGCTGTTGTACCAAGCAATTATACCTCTTTTTTAAAAGAAAAAACCATATGCAGAGGCACAAGCATTACACTCCTGCCTCTGGGACTCGGACTGGAACAGTTACAGCCCTAGGGAAATCCCTGTGGCCACTCCCCACAGTAAGCAACAGTAAAACACCGTAAGCTTTCAGTAAGCAGCAGTCTTTGAAAGGTTCCCCAAGTGAAGGCCACAGAAGCATGGACTGCCATGAAGTAGAAGTGAAAGGTGGACAAGAAAACCCACACTCACTGCCATTTTCACCCCTCTAAAGAGTTAGGAAAGAGGAGAGCACACTCCTTGCTGAAACGAGTGGGCCATTCACATTTCCTAGAATATTTATCACCAGAGGAGCCAATATAGAGGCAGATTTCATGAAGTTGGAGTTAGCAACAAGGGTAGTCTTGCCTGGCAAGCAAGCAAGGGAACATAAGTCATCTCATGTCTTGGAATACACTACAGTGGTGTTAGGATTACCTTTCCCCCAAGGCAGTAATGTTTCAGAACACTCATGAGCAGAAGCATTAACGTCTAATACTAACTCACATTTGAGGCCTGGGGCTAAATGATTCCTCCTGCTCTGAGGCATTTGTCTAACCCAAAGGGAAGGGAGGATGTTTAGAAATACTTGGTTGTATTCTGAGGAAGATAGCCTTGTTGGCTCAACATATTCCCATGTCAGATGATCCTTTCCTCACCACAGAGGAAATATTTAAGAAATTGATGCTTAGTCTGTCAGAAGTGACAATTAGATTTTTCTCATCACCCAATGACATTGTACACAGTCACTACATGTAGCACTGACTTCAACAGTCCTTTATTTTTAAATAAGAAATCCCACTGAATCAAAGATAACAAAATTACATTTTGTTTTGCAGTGACCTCCATTTTACACCACACAGAAGAACAAAAACTACAGAAAAAGTCAAAGACATATTTATATATAATTTTAAAGGTAAACATCAGCAGATATAGAAAAATTGCATTGCTAGTTGCAAATCATCTCCCCTGCAGCTGTCAGCTTCAGAGAATCTGACTCAGAACTTGGCAGCTGGGAGGGTATCTCAGATACAAGCTTTTTCAGGGCAGCATTTAGAGATGGTTCCAGAGTATAAGTTTGCACATTTAAAATATTTTCCATGGGAAACTGTGCTGCTTACCAAGAACATTAGAAATCACACAGCCTGTTCTAACAGAACTGCAAGAACAACGTGAGAAGGGCACAGATCTGGCTTCCTGAGGTGTCCACATACCTCTTCACCTTGGGGATATTAAGAGAGAGAACTGTCTCATAAAAAGAGGTTGTGCTTTCTTGAGGGAAAAATCTCTAGTGATCTAACATTTGGAGTTATGGACAAGCCAACAAATAGCATTAAAAGAAAACATGTTCTGTGGAGAAGTATTCACTCGGGCTGAGTAGTAGGGTTTAGTTACCAATACAAGTTGTTGGATTTGTTTTAGAAGACTCCCCAGCTTGCAGGAGCCATGAGAAGGGTCAGCATCCCAGTAGAGCTAAGACATCCTGGAAGGAAATTGTGCCTAATAAAGCATTGACATGACTAAAAACAGGCAATGTAAGCTTTGCTTTTACATAAAAGCAATAAAGGCTGTATGTGTAGAGCGACCTCATGGAATCAAGCTCCTAACTGGCATTTAAGTTACCCAGCAAAACCAAAAATCCAGGTGTTCAAAAAGCAGTAGTTCAGAATAACTCTAGAAGCCCCTCCAGCACAACCCAAACACCTGACAACTGCTTTGACTCACTGGCGACACTTATACCTACACTCTCCCAACAACCAAGAAGAATCCAGGCCAACAGCATAACAAGCATGCCCAGTAACCAAAGGGGTACATGTGCAAGGCATCTCCCTTCCTTAGGTCTGTGCTGCTCTGAGGCATCTTCAGTTCAGCAGAAACCTTGAAAGTCTTCACACCAAGAACTGTCTGGTTTTTGCCTAGACTAGTACTCCTGAAGGAGACACTGTTTTGAGTCACAGTGGACCCCAGACCCTACCCAACCTACAGGCTTGCCAAAGGAACAAGGATACCTGGAGTATGACTCAAATCAGAAGCAGCAAAATGTTCTTTACAAGAGATGATTTGTAAAAGGCCAGGGCCTTTTCTGGTCTCCCTGAAAAAGACTGAAGAACTTCAATAAGCCCCAGATAGGCATATTTCCAGAAAAACTTGGAAGCAGTCCAGGTGACTAAACTGTTTGGCAACTAACTCCTCGAAAGGCTATTCTGCTCTTTCAGATACAGCCATTTACAGAGAATCCACCTCCACCTATATGTTACTAAAGAGTTGGACATAAGAACTTTGGGATTTCAAGGTAACAAGTCGCTTAAGCAAGCCCCCTTCTATGACTCAATCCCTACTGCAAGAGGCAAGTTTGAGGAGCAGATAGCCGAATGATTCACTGCTAATACACCTTATTTTAAACCTTAAAATAGACTGTAGCTAGTTGTAGACTGCCCACAAGTCCCTTAAGTCAGCACACACTTGTATAGTGTACATCACCAGGGGTGTCTCACTACTTAGTGTTGAGAAATTTAAAAAGCAAACTTAAAAGCTCTGAAACTTAAAAGCTCTGCTCTGACAGAGCTGTTACTGAAGTCTCTAGATATGCTGATGTCAAGGAAGGAGGAAAAAAGGGCAAGGCACCACGTGTCAAAGGGCTGTGGTCTAGGAACTCATGACAGACCCAGGACAGATGACACACAGGTAGCTTAACTAAATTCAGTATTGGAGATATCAGTTCTTACTATCTTTCCTTAAGGCCCAGTCTTTGTAACCTGCATCTTCATGAACAGGAATTGCAAAAGTAGTGCTCAGAAGACAACTGCAGGGAGGTTCAATTATCTGTCTTCCCAGTGCAACTACAACACAGACCCATCTGAAAAAACCTTCCATTTAGAAGCTCAGAAAGTGACCATTAAAAATGCTGGCGGATCTGATGCAACAGCAGCTGCCAGTTCCTCATGTTCAATGGGAGGAAGTCCCTGCTACTCACCTACAGCCTTCAGATCTCTCCAATGATGGTTGGACCAGCCTAACCATCCCACAGCTTACAGTCTGATGGAGAGTTCTTGGGGTTTACACTCAAGTGCTACTTACACCCAGCAATGGGGGAAAGGGTTGTATACCACATGAGACTAAATGCTAAAGAGCTCCACTAATGCATTTTTCTAATCCCAATCTGAGACTAAATAGAGCTCATGAGATTTTTCATGCTAAGGTCTTGAAGAGCTGCATTACCAGACTATACTGTAAGGATCTAGAAGTGCATACTTTAATAAGCTCACTTGCAAAGAGATAAAATAAAGACTTAACCACACAGAAGACTAAGCAGTCTCTAAGCAGTAAGAGTTCTGATTGCATTTGAGGTTGAGTTAATTGGCCAAATAGAGGGCATCTGTCCACATCACAAGACTAGTATTGCCTTATTTGGAAAGGGAAGAGCATTCCAGATTAGAACTGGACAAAGTCCCATTCCTCTTTGATTATCGGCACTAGGCACCAGTTGCCAGTCACTGTCAGCAGCAAGATGAATATAGAATTCCCTTCTCTGAAGGTCTTTACATAGTATGCACTGCAGCTTAGCTTTCTCCTCTCTCACTTCCCCAAGGTCTTTTTAGGCTATCACTGCTAGACTGGACACTAAGCCTTGCATTAAAAGCAATGTCAAAGTGGAGAGGGTAGGGAGAAGAAATTTTACTACTTCCATCTACAAGCTAAATAAGGTATTTTAAGTCCTAGAGTCTCCGCACAATGTTTAAGCCATGGCAAAATCCTCTTCTTCCCTGAACAGGCTAGAATTGGTCAAGCCAGAGGCAGGCTGCCCTTGCACTTTGAACAGCTGTAGATGCAAAAACAGGTTGAAGGAGCAAGAGACCTATATAAACATTATTTCTCTAGCTGAGTTTCAGAACGTCCATGGCATTGACACTCTAATATGAAGGCTTAGGCTGTGGGACAGGAAGGATTACTCCTAGAAAAAATTTCTAGAATTTTTAAAGCAGAATCTCTACTTGATTAGTCAAAAACACAGCTCCTGCTGCCCTGTTAGTTTCCTAGCTGCTCATCTCATCTCAGGAGAGACTTGCTCAAGAGGTCATTGATTGACTGGTCATCCGCTATAGTGAAGTCAGTCTGACCTAATGTTACAGTTTATGAGAAGGCAACTTCCTCATACCTCAGATGCAGGAAAGCCTACTCAGTCAAGACTGAGCAGTCAAGATGAGCTCCTTTAAAAAGGAAGGAAAAGCTCTTCAAAAAAAAAAAAGGCTTGCAGAACAAAAGCTTTACTTTCGGTGAGACTGGCATAACTCACCTGAAAAGCAGTGTCATTTAACACCAACCTGGAAGGCAGAAAACACTTGCTTTGCCTCAACATTAGCCTTCCCAGAGAGGGCCCAAATAATTTGCACTTCCTACTTCCATGTTCTGGGCCATTAACTCCTTCAGCCACTTGGGGAGTGGGGCAGAGAGCCTCTGCTTTTGATAAGGTTCTCAAACTGGAGGAAGGCAGGTATTTTGCTCTCACAGTAACTAGATCTATGCAGTCCTTCCTTCTATAGGTGTCCACATGTTGGGCTCTTCCCATTAGTATCAGTACCAAGAACAATTTCTGTTTCTCTAGAGCTGTCTGAAGTTGTTACTCACCACAAAACCATGTGGAGGAAGGATATGAAGTGTTCCAAAGATAGAATCTGTTGCCATGGGAAGGGCAGCTTTGTACCTTCAAGGCAGGCAGCTGTGACTTGTGTTAACTACAGCTGTAGAGTTTGCTGTGAAAGTTCAAATAGTTCTGAAGTTGTAACCCGCTGGAGATGAAAAAGCACATCCCTATGCATTTACACTGTATCTATTTGATGTGTACAAGTGCTGCTTGTACTCCACCTCTGTTGAGGGGAAGATATTCAAGTCAAATCCAATGACTATTACATAAATAGCTACTTAAGAAAAATGTAATGTTTTGCCTGACAGATTTTGGTGATATACAGATGCAGTATGAATAAGAGTATGATAGCACAAATTCATCAGTTAATATCCTTGCTAATGATGCTCCAAGATAGTCCCTAAGAAACAGCCACAAGCATGGCCAAGTATTGCTATAGAGCTTTACTTGGTCACATCTTTTCTTTGAGGGGGAAGAAAAAGAAACCTGGATCTACTAACAAAGGGAATGTGCAGATAACCACAGCTCATTTTAACAGGCCAAAGTGGCTGGCCTAAGGCAAACTGAAAGGAATTTCCTGATATGATAATGCACCTTTGCTACAATAGTTTATTATTGCTTTATTAAAACAAAAAAGCACTGCTCCAACCTACTGAAGTTCAAGGACAGGCCAGAAGGCTTGTTCCCCTGCGTTACTGAACTGAAGTCTTGCAGCTTGTTTCACCCTTAAGCTATAAACTAAAGGGCCTAGAACACAAACCAAGGCTAAAGCAATAAAGTGCTGGGTGATGTTGGAAGTATGATAGAGAAAACTTCATTAAGACAGAGTCCCAAGGATGGATTAACAAGATGACATCATCAACAAATAGAAAAGCAAAGATTTTAACCACAAAGTTTCAGTCTCCAGATTGTCATGGGACAACTTTCCTTTCAGGGGAGAAAGGGTCCTGAATAAACTGTCTTGGCACAGACCATAACAGCCACTTGAGGGAATAGCACAAGTGAGTAGGCATCTTTCCTGCATATATACTTTCACACTTCACTTTACACATTAAAACCAGAAGTGGATGTATGAGTGTGGAAAGGTAATTCACGTGAGGAAGAGCCCGGTGTCTTATTGGAGCCAGTAATCCTACAGCATTTACATAAATATGAAGGTGCTACTTCAGTTGCACAGGGCTAGAGCCATCCAGTTCCCATCGAATAGAGCAAATCATGTGATGGAAAACCATTCAATGCTCTGAAAAGTTAAGCAGAAGAATTTTGATACAGACCTGGCATAACAGGAAGTCAAGGAAAAATACATTCCTCCCCTATAAACCAGTCCCTAATAGTGTACATCAATTCTCTACTAAATACTTTAAAAAACAGTTTGACCCACAGAAAGATCCTGCAGATTCATAATCACCGATTTCCATTTGGAAGGCAGAGCCAGCTTTACAAAGCCCTGGGTCAAACAAATCCAGTACTAAAAATACAACTACATTTAAAAAGAGGCAAATATGACAAGAAGGTGACAAGAAGGATCTGGTCTTGGTATGAGAACATGTTTACATAGAAGAGTATTAACTGGTATGACCAACCTGTAGCTTTTCTCTACCTGGAGTCCCAGCATAAAAACATCCCAAACCAGAGATAGCAGAAGCACGGAAGAGCTAAGTATTTTTCAACCATTGACTTTTGGAAGTGCATTCCTAGGAAGTAGGAGACCCCCTTGAAATGGTGCAAGGCTGGAACTCCACTTGCAGTCAGGCATCTGTTTTTGTAGGCCACATACTAGACCAAACCACTGGCTATGGCTTGGTACAAGGTTTTTCCAGCACTGGGACAGAGCAGAACAAAGAAAGCTTAATTGCCCTGTCATCTACACCTAAATAAATGCTGAAGATGAAGTTTGACCAGCTGGTGAAGGGATTTGACATTTTAAACTCCTGATATAGTTAAAACAAGCTCTTGAGCTCAACAACCCTGTAACAGGCCACAGTCAGCAACCCAATTCAAGCAGAACAATAAGTTACAAGCCCAAATGACTACATACGCAAAGATTCTCTGACCAGATATTAACCTCTGCTGTAACACCACTTTTCAGAAGGAAACATGTGATCAAACCCCAACCCTAGGATATCAAGGGGAATGGAAACCTGAAGCAGCGGGTGAGGAACAAGGAGTTCCCACAGGGGGAGATATACTGAAGTGATCCAGAGTCTTTGGGTCAGTTACTCCTGGCCAGATACAGCCTGCTCTGTGTCTGAGCAGTGAGACTTTGTCTTCTCCCACTGGCAGATGGCATTGGCATACTGCACCACGAGCTTATCCATCCAAGTAAGAGGTTCTGGGAAGAGCACAGACCCCTCAAAAAAGCCCAGGTGGCCTCCATGGAGGGGCAGCACATGCATGACATTTTCCCGTTTCTCTGTAAAACAAGAGGCACAAAGTTCCAGAAAATTAGCATTGTAGAGCTGAAAACTAAGCGACCTTAAGCTGTGACAATCAACTCTGTCCTTGCCATAGCATCTGAACCAAAGGAGGAACCAGAAGCACAACAGCAAAGGCCACAGCTGATTTGAAGACAAAAAGCACATAGCCGCACCACTTCATAGAACAGGTCAGTCCACAGAAACCAAGCCCAGCCAGTATTAGAAGGCTGCCTGAGAAATGCTACTGGCTGGGCCCCAGTGGCAGTACAGGTCACATCTTTCCCAAAATGCTCCATCTCCAACTTATATGTGCTGAAACTGGGTCTGTTAGCTTAACGCTAAACTGCACCAAAGCTCTGACAGTACATTAACCACCCTGTTCCTTTGGCAGAAGAAAAATTCCCCTGCTTGCTTCAATCTGAAAGCAGGTCTTGATTAATTCTCCCTTCACATCTTTCAGTAAGGGAAAGAACCTGCTGCATCCCCCAGGCATCCACTGTTTGAAGAAACAGCAACCAGCCCTCTTTTAGAAGGGACCTTTGAAAAGGTCATGTCTTTCTTGGCTGAAGACAGACAGCTCAACTCTTCTCTTTCAAGTCACCAATCCTAGTCCACTAGGAAATAACCTAACCATGCATCTTCCCTCTCATCAGCAAAGGGGGTTGTTAATCTACTGTTGCTCAAAACCATCACTATAACAACCCACCTTCTATTAATTCCCAGTGAGGAGTGTGAAGACATGAGGAAGTATTTTTTGCATTAAAGAATGTAATCTGAACACAGCCTCCTGGCTATCAACATGAGCCAAAATAGGAGAAGGTCCCTGGAAGGACGACTCAAGTTCTTCCTGCTCAAAGTTAGCCTTGCTGGTTCTAGCAACTTCTGATTTAAAGAGGCTTAGTACATCTCTACAGGATTAGAGATGTAAGGAGGCAAGTTAAGCTGCTTTGCAATCATAGATCATTATGCGATAAGGAAGCTGAACACTTCACACAGTGTGAAGTGCACACTGCTTTAACATACCTGAAAGAGCTCTTGGAATCGATAGAAGACTCTCATGCACCAGAGGGTCATCAGCAGCATTAACCAACAGGAGAGGAACATAGATCTGCATCAGGAAACACGGTAGAAAAATGGTAAGGAGTTGGTATTTGAGTTTCATTCCAACTGTAAAAATCATCTGCTCAACTTGAGTTTACTCAGGCACCCTGTTTCAGGCTCGTTCTGCACTTGGAGAACCATCAGGAAAAGAGAGACAGTCAAAATTAAGACTGGTGGCTTTTCACCAATGAAGTGCTTCGCAGTACTTTATTTTTTCAGTTTAACTGTATGAAAAGGGATGGGATGTAACAGAGCAGATTCAGATCCAGAGTCCATATTCCCCCGCTCCCAGAACTCATCTATAATCTTTGCTCTGCATTACTTTGCATACCAGGCAGCTAGGGCCAGCTCTTGTTACTGAAGTTCAAACTTAAAAGACCAAACTCCTTTGTAATGTTTCCATCCTCTGGTTCTGCAGATCTTTACCTCTGCAGCACTTCGGTCTATTTACCTTTCAGATAGTGCCAGGAGCCTCTTCCAGACAGGCATTCTGGAAAGTCATTCCTCCTTGAGAGTGCAGGCCGTATACCTCCACTTGCTTCCCACTTTACCCATGTATGCTTAGAGGGGTTCAGCTGAATGTCTGGCTTTATCTAGACCACTTGGGTGCTACTACACACTGGAGTTACGAGTTCCTAAGGGCTCAGAGCACTTAGCATCAGTATTAGAGGAATTAAGAGTTGAAATTCCACTCCAAGATACCATGTTTAGGAATAGCTGTGTCTAGGAATCAGCAACACAGAAACCACTGACCATTCCCCCCTCAACAGGAAAATTACGGTACAAGAACAGTCTCAAGTGCAAGAGCCTACCCTGTGCAAGTACTGTAGGCAGCTTTCTTCTTCATAGTATTCCTTCAGGGAACTGTAGCCATGGAACTTCCTGAAATGGAGACATTGCAGTCATCTGTTTCTAGTACCCATTTGGCTTCCAAAAGATTCATACTCCCAAATGAGATACTTGCACAGAAGTAGACCCGATACCTGGATTTTTACAGACTGAACATTTTCTGCCCAGTTTCTCTGCAAAATACATCTTTGGCAGCACATGCCTTCATGCTTTGCATGCTTACTCAAACACTGCAATAGCAGGATTTGTATTTGTTCTGTAGATAGCATGACAGTTGGAGTCTAATGGCCTTCAGAGCTTTAAAAAGTATCCTTCATCACTTATTAGTGATTCATACATATGGATGAAAATTATCTGTCACCTTTACCTGGAGGCCTTTTTCAAAAATGTAAAAACACAACAATTTATGAACCTTGAAATGGACAAATATAGGGCACTCAAGTCACTGTGGTTCTAGTTATTCACCACAGCCTAGCTCCCTAGTCACCAGTTCCCTAGTCTTCTCTCCCAAACTAAGGATTCAGTGAACTCACTTAGCTTTGTTTGTTGAAGCATCAATTTAGCAGTAAACCCAAAACAAAGGCCTCTGGGATTAGGACAAGTAGGAAGATTTAATTATGAATCTTTTAGAAAGTCAGCAGAGCACAATACTCACATCCCTCAAAAACCCTAGAGCTCTACAGGGCACAGCCAGTTTACAGCTTCCTCATTTTGGAAAGGTGTCAATGCCCAGTATAGAACATGCCATGGTATATGAGAATAAGGCGACTGAATAAAGCGCTATGCTGCTTTCAAAGACACATGAACAACAGAATGCTGCTTAATAAAGCAGAAAGTTAAATTTAGGTGTTAGCACAACCCATAAAAAGGGTTGTTTCAGTAGACCTTAATGTTCATGGAGAAGGCAGTAATAAGGTTTTTTGGGAGGGTTTGTTTCAACCCAAGTTAAAGCAGGGCAAATGACACTCCCGAGTGGTTTTGAGCTGCTTTCCACATTCTGCACTTTCAGGTTTTTGCTACAGCTCATCAGGCCTAGCCTCTGAACTTGTAGCCAGGAATAACCCAGGAGGATGCTACCGGTAAGTGAATACTTCCCAAAAGGTTTTATAGAAGCTGAGATCGATAAGTAGGGCTTCTTTTGCTAAGCTTCATTCAATGTAGAGGCAAGGAAGAAGGCCTGAAGCTGTCAGCACTGGATTTCAGAAAATTCCCATCAGCACAGCTAGAGGCATGAGAACACCACTTGAAAAGGAAGGTACTCTTAGAGAGCTACAGAGAATCAGAATCTCCCCTCATACCTCATGACATTATCATCAATTTGCATGAGGGATGTTGCTGTGTAGAGTTTACTCAGATCTGCATCTGACAGGCTTTGTGGCTTCTTCATGTTATCTCCAAATAGAACTTGCCTGAAAGAGTAACATCAAGAAAAACATCCAAGTATCATAACAAGGGCAGCAAAGCTATGACCCGCTCAAGGGAAAAAGGAGTTTACCAAATCTGACAAGATAGAAGTGGGCTCTGTAGCCACGAGGCTTTACTAGGAACAAGCATAGCTTATTTGTCTACCTCCTTTGCAGCAAAAGGTAACAGAAACCCTAACAGTCACTTTACAGCAAATATGCTTTCCTGTTGTAGTAAAAAAAAAAAAAGCAGCCCAAGGGACCTCTAAACTTTTGCTAGAATGGACAGCACTAAGGGTACTTGGAACACAGGCTTTATGTTAGAAGGAGGGTCCTCTGGCTTCTGACCAAACCTGCGGGTGGCTCAAGTGAGAGCACTAACAGTCCTGGGCATAGCATCTCCTTTGCCATCCGGTACTAAAGTTCCCCAAGCACAGAGATTAGATTAGCTCATCCAGTAGAAATTACTCGGGGCATTACCTTAGCAGAAAGCTATTTACTATGGACACTTGTCATAATTAGTTATTACCCTCAGGGGAGGATGTGCTTTTTTTTTTTTAAAAAACAGAAAAACACTCCCTTAACAAGTGGAACAAAGACCACAAGCTGGAAAGCAGGGTTTTTATTCCTTTTTAGAGACAGCTGCAGGGCAGAGCAGGAGAGAGACTAGATTTGATTTTGGGGAGCTGCCCTGAAGCACAGAAGATTCATTATAGAAAGAAGTTTAGCTTATTTAGGATTCTCCCTTCAAGCCAGCACTGGGTTATGATTCTAAGCACCATTTAATGCACAGGGGATTGATACTTTCATATGTTAAATTAAGTTTGGTCAAGTTGTCTAAACATTTCCCAGTCTGGAATAAGTTACCCTACATGACATACAGAGCCTCCTTAACTCCTTCTGCAAGTGTTTCACATTGCACAGGAGTGTCAGGAAATAACTGAACATTTGTAAGTGACATACTCTTAATTGGAATGGGTCATAATTACCCCTTTCCCCTTCCTTCTCTTGACTCAGGCACCTTCAAACATACACAGATGAGGTACTTACGTATTCATTGCCCAAGAAGTACCCAGAGAATTTTTGATGGAAAAAAAATGAACATGAAGCATGCCACCTGTTCAGCACACATTCCTTTGCTATGAGAGCACCACAGACCACAACAGTAGCACAGGGATACTAAGATTATAGCTGCACTCCAAGAGCAACACCGAATATTCTGCTAACTACATGCTCTTTTTAGAATAGTAGCTAGAAGCTAGATCTACAGCTTGACTGCTTATTTGATAAGCTGCAGCCCCATGCAGCAGATCCACATCTTGAGAATTAATCCTACCTCAGGTACATAGCAGAACAAGAGGCTCCTTGAATACGGAATTCTTTGGCTAGAAGTGAAACAGATGCAGAATATTCCACTTTGAAGTTTAATTATGTTTTGCTGTGCTCATCTTGTTTACTGATTAAGCAAGTCTCCTTGGAAGACAAAAACAAAGCTTGCTTTCTTCTAGCAGGATCACCAAGGCTTATTTGTATATTCTAGTACATATGAATGAGATTGGGGTGAGCTCCCCTTCTCTTCACTGGTTCATTTAAAGACCCTTGAGCAAGGAATGTGTGTATAAGTCTTCAGCAGTTTGATTCTAAAGGACTAAGATGACAAACCCAGTAAAATAGCAACTAGCCCAGTCAATACTATCAACACCATCAGTAACCATCAACACCATCAGTGCAAGCGACTGCTATAGTACCTGTGAGAAAGGATGATCTTTTTCATGTTGTCTGCCATGAGGAAGTTATAAAATCTTCTACATTGATCCCATTGCATGAAGGTTTCCTGCGCCCTAAAAAAGAGCATATCAAAGCAATTAAAGGAGATCTTGAAAGATCACAGTAATAAGATCTTTGGCAGCCTAGAGGCTACGTAAGCAATCGCCAGACTTCCCCTGCCATAGCTTAAACCTCTTCTAGGAAATGGCCTCCACTTTGATGAAGGTCAGTGGTAACAGAATATGCATCTGCAATTTCATTTTGCACAATGCAATTAAGTGCTCTGTTGATCAAAACAGCTAAGAGACATCGATCAAGATCCTGTCAACGCTAACAAGAGGATTTTGGTATCCTTTGTGTAAGTTGACTCTAGCTTACCTAACTGGACTACCAAGCAAAGGACTACAACTTGAGCCTGTTGCTGAACAAAGTGTTCTCAGTTGTACGAGTTAACTCCACAGAGGAAACAGTTTATGCAGATGTTTTCAGTGTTTACAGACTATTACTGTCAGCCCTGCTGGCAGGAACTATAAGAATAGATTCTAGCTGCAGCTGCAAGTGGTATCTGATTTGAGGCAGAATAACAACTGATAAGCTGTGAAGTGCTAAAACAGAATTAAAGTTATCCAGACTTCTGTGAACTCTGCCAGATACAAGTACTACTTTGCTATGCAGGGTCATGGGCAGGTTATAGCTTTACTCTCAACAAGGTTTGCTGTTACTAGGGAACCGTACTATCATTTACTGAGCAACCCAGCAATGCCGAGAACAGATTTCCAGCTACTGAACTACTCCTACTTTAGTTCCTTTGGCTCCTTAATGGCTAAATGGTAGATTTAACATGACTTCAAACCACAACCTACAAGTTTCCTAACAGAGCATAAGCAATATTTTCTTGTCATAAGCCATGCCAGAGCATATATATATATATATTTTTTTTTTTTAAAAAAGAACTTTACCAGACTGCCTACCATTTTGTGGTGGGGGAGAAAGAATAAAGATAGGAAGATGTACAACCCCTCCCCACCCCCAAAACACTTTCCAAGCAAACTTCAAGTAATTTCAAAATGATTGAAGTTAAAGCTAGTATACTTCCCTACCACAGTTGCTGTGGTAGACCGTAGTACTTCTAACAGCAAGAGTACTAAAAACACAGCTTCCCATGCTTTATAGTGGACTGCACAGATTTCAAAACCGGGAACCCTCCCCACAGCCTGTAGCTACAGTGAAGATGCATACCACAAGATCAAGAGGCAGAACCAAGCCTGTACAGGCAGAGATTAAGGAATAAGACGACATGTCCCCTTTTAGCCTCAGGAATGAGATTCCCCAAACTATGTTAATTGATTAAACCAACAGCTCCACAGTCTGCTGACAGATTCTTGTATTGCTGCCACTTCACATCCATGTATGGGACATACGCTTAATGCCCTGGAAAGGCATTCATATTGCAGTTCCATGCTTCGTCTTGCCCACCACCACTTTTCTCCTTTTACTTCCTGAAGGTAGTTTGCACAACCTCTTCCCCCAAATATCATAAAAAAGAAAATTAAATTCTAAGCTAACTGGTCATGCCTACCAGGTCACATGGCCTAGAGGTATGAGGCCAGCTATTTTAACCTACTAGACAAAGTCTAGGAAGGCTGAGGCTCATCCATTCTATCTGAAGGTGCTTTGTATCTCCACCTTCTATAACCAAGGGCATAAGGTCCTCTCTACCCCATTTTTTCTTAGTGGATATTTACTGATGTTGCTTTTCCCCCAGCTATTTGGCTGATTAGCATTTAAGGACAGCAGTAGAGATTAGGTGAGGAGACATGAGATCTGAAAAGCCTTGTCAGATGCACAATAAGGCATAGCAGATGTTTTGACTGAAGACTTGCTAGTAGTTGGTTACCCAGCAGGTGGTGTCAAGAGCTCAATAATCCGCACAAGAAGCCACTGAAGACTTGCATTAAACCCAGACAAGCAGTTGTTTCCCCTGCACATACCTCCACAGAGAAATCCAAGTCCAGTATTGTTAAACAGGTTGTCCTTACACAGGAAGTCTACCAGCACATCATGATACATTACTAAAGAAATCAGTTAGTAAACAGCATTATTCACATCTTTGAGACCTGAACTACAATACCGCATAATTGCAGAAGATGAACCAAATGGACCAAGGCCAAATGCAATCCTTGCAAACCCTGTTTGATGGCTGCAAGAAGTTTTGGGTGCTGGCTTCAAAAGGGTGGTGCGCTCCATGGTGAGCTGTTTGCTCCCCAAATAGCTAAACACATTTTACTTAGGGGAGAAAAATAAAAAGACTATTCCTGAAAGCATCTGTTCAGATTTTAAGGGGGTGAACTCACAGGGACCTAGCAGCATATAAGTTATTTTAGCAGTAGTCAGATTTGATCTGAAGTCTCAAAATAGACCAGGCACATTGGAATATTACTGAGTTACATACCAAGCTTTTAATTATGCTAAAGCTTCCAGAAAAGCTTCTTACTCACCTGTTAGAGCTTACTCATAAAAGCCCTCTTCAGACCAAGTATCAAACTGGTTGCTTCCTAGCTATGTATCAATGTGCTCTAATCATCTCAAACTGCTGTACAGGCAGAGCATAAGCAATATCAAGAGCTACTTTTACCAGGCAGAGGGGCCAAATTCTACAGCAAGTCTCCTGCCAGTTTTACCAGCTCTGTAGAGCTGCTAGTTTCACCATTTTCATTTTCCCATAAAATCCTGACCCAAGTACCCTAGTCTCAACAGACCCTTCACTGCACTTCTAAGCACCGAGAACATTTGAAAGACAAAGTTACAGTAGTGTCAGCTAAGCCCCAGTAGCTGTCCATATGGGCAGGAGAAACTGGAAGTATTAAGCTTAGACAGTTACTGTTTTAATCTTGATTAACTGTGCAAGCACAGAAAGTTAGCACACAGCTAAGCCAGCAGTTCAAGCAGCAGTGCTGTAGCCAGATCCTGTCAGTAAGTTCAGGTATTAGCACTAGGTGGGGCTGTTAAAGCTTTTCTGAAGTACTACAGCCTTGGTTTCCAAGTAGGGAACCAAGGATTATTTTTATGCAGGCTTTGAGGCTATAAGCCTTCACTCTACCTCCCAGATTCCAGGTCCATAGCACCATTGCAAATGTTTCTCCATCCCCTCATGAGCCCACAGCACTGCCTTGGCATTGGAGACAAACATTAGGAGGGGAACACCGAGTGTCAGTATGAGCTTCCGTGCCTCTTTCCGGTTTCCCCAGCTGAAAGCTGCTGGATGGGACTGCACACTGAAGCCAGAAAAAGCCATTATCAACCTAGGGATAGTTCTCAGATTGATGAGAAAGCGTAAGCCGCTGCTTTCAAAAGTGGCATCAGCTCAGTTTTTCATGCTGCCCAACCTGCCAGATTTGTTGTACCAAGATTGCATGGGACCTCTTAGAGGACTAGAGCAATCCTACCACAGCACAAAGTTAGGCCAGCTTACACATGTAGAAAAGCAGCTGACAGCATTTGCCTGCCCAGAAGTGTTTATTATTAGCAGAAAGCTTACTTGTACTGCTAAATCAAAGCTTTGGCTGCTCATTCAGAAGGGTGGCATCCTGCACACTCTAAGCAGACAGGTTATATGGTTTTTCTTGCATATAGCTCTTCCCCCATCACACACTCTCCAAAACCTTCCCGTTCTTCTACCTCCCCCAGAAGAAATCAGCCCAGAGGTAAGGGCCTCTAAACTTACCTCAGTGCACTATACCCTTGGCACACACTGACACAGCACAGGACTCTCTCCTGGTTGGCCTGGGTCTCTCCAAGGTATTTGCACACAATATTTCCACCTAGGCTGAAGCCTACTACAGCCAACTGGGTCTGAGGGTAGGTCTTCTTGATGTAATTAACCATAGCACCAAATTCCCAGGTGCAACCTAAAAAAATAAGAATATCAAGAATCATCTAACAGCCCTAAATTCCCACCTCCAGCTTCAGCTGTGAGCCTTAAGCTTAGCTTCCTACCCTTTCTGACTTAATACCCTCAAAGCTTTAAGAGCTCTAATTCACATACATTCATGTATCTGAGTCTTGTGGATCTTTGCTCACGCCTGGTTCTGACAGGCTGCCAAAGAGACAAGATTCCTTGCTCAAAAATCATGGGAGCAGCCAATTTGACAATCCAAACCCTTCCTTCCTAAAGGGGTTTGAAAAGTAGAGTCAAAGGACTCTGGGCTTGACACTGATATTTACTGAACACAGTATATTACCTTCCTGAGGGACTTAGCCACTTCTGAGCACAAGTAGGGCATCTGGGATGCAGCCTGCTCTTTGCCTTCAGCAAGACTGCCATGGACCCTTATATCTGCACAGGTCAGGAGCAGTGGAAACAGCTTGCTTGTCAGGACAGTGCTTAATGGACTGTTAGAGTGACTAAGCAGGTATTCTCTGGAATAAGATGGGAAGAATTTAAGCACAAGGAAGCCAACCCCTTATAATCACTGAGGGGCTAGGAATACTGCAGCTCTTTAGAAGAGGGATGGGACGTCCCCATTAAGGAAAGAGCTAATGCCTCCATACAGCTCTGTTCTGCTCACAGCTAATGAATATTTGCATTCCACAGGCAGCAGGCACTGAGGAATCCAGTTTCTGGCAGCACTGGGGTCCTTTGAGATTGTTTGACAGATCTGAAGGCCTCCACCCATGCAACACTTGAGTATCTGCAGCTTTTTCTCCTGCATTCCTCAGTCTGGAAAAAGAAGGAAAGACCCTCTGAAGAAAAACACCTCCGGAACTGATAGTATCACGGCACTGGCACCAACAGGCTGTGAACTTTGTTAACCTTCCAATTAGATCTAAGATTGCAAATCCCACAGTAGGCACCACATGAACCTAAGTAAAACCTCCAGTTGCTTCTGTTTAGAGTTAGAATTTCAGTCCTAGCCATTGGAACATGCCCAGGAACTTCAGTTCTAGGAGTCTGGATTATGGACTGTGCCAACTTAATACTGCTCCACTGTACCCCCACCTCAAGCATCTTTGATGGATGCACTTGGGTTTTGCCTAGTTCTGGAGTAGATTGAGCAGGGTTTTAATGTATTTCAGTGAAATACACTTCTGACTGAGTAATCTGGCAGGCTTTGGAAACTTCATTGTTAAAGAAAATTCTTCATTAAGAATATTAAGACAAATACCACACTACTCTAGCTTCTTCTGGAAGAAGCCAGCAGTCAAAATATTTTAATGTTTTACTCCCGTGATCTGAGAGCAGCTGGCAGCCACTTCAGAAACCTGAAACTAAAGTAGCAACAAGTTAGGTTTGATGTAAAGGCTAGAAGAGTCAGTGAGTCCCAAATTTAGGCTATTCCCTCTACAACCAGTGTCAGGAACCCAGCAAAAGCTGCAAGGATACCAGGATATTTGGGTAGGAGGCAAAGTCAAGTCCATTCAAGGTCTTGCCTGGCACTCCATTTGGCAGAGTCACTTAAGCAAAGTTTACTGGCTTACTCAAAAGAAGTGATAGGCATTCCTTGCTGTTTCCAAAGGCTACAACGCACTCAGAGAGGCATATCTTCAGAGCTGGCACTACAGAATAACATCCTAAGGTCTACAACAAAGTTCTGAAGTTAAGGGAGAGTGCCACCAACTCCAGCAAGTTTTCAGCAGTCTGGACTTCTAGCATTTAACAACTAGCTAGAGAAAAGTTAAGAACATTGTCTTGATTTCAAAACTGCACTGGATAAAGCTGTAGCAGATTCATATCGTCTGTGATGTTATTCTTCCCTACCCTTAATTACCTGTTCCGGCTCTTAATCATGGAGGAATTTTGGCAAGAGCATTTTTTTGGTGTCAGGCTAACATTACTGTACCAAAGGCTTCAGAGCAACTAGCTATTTTTGGGGTTGTATTCACAGACCTAAGAAGGTGTCATTTGGGAAGAAAGCTCTCAAGATTTATCAAGAGAAAGGCAGATGCTTTAAGATAATCAAGCTTGGTTCCCAAGAAAAAAAGCTCAAAGTCACTAACAGTCCAGGACTTCATGACGAATTGAGGCACTTGGTATGCTTGGAGTGTTTTCCTACTCACAGGGAGTTCATAAGTATAAAACAAGTCAAAGCATTATTGGCTAGTCACAAAGCATTATTGGCTACTCTCCTACCAGACCCACAATCTCAAAGCACAATAGATTTCTATTTCAGCAATTCAACTGTTGGAGGTAAACAGTCAGTTGTTATACTCTTAACAAGAAGTATCTTCATCTGTTTTAAAAGAGAAACCTAACACCAGTCTGCTAAATCCAGACTCCTGACATAACATACATATAAACACTTGCAATAAAAAGGGATGAGGGCTCTAAAGAACTCGGAAACAAGTAGATCAGGTCTCAGGCAGGAAGGTCACTTGCTATTGAGATTACATTACATACTAGCAAAGCAGGTAATAGCTGGTGGCACTCACAGCACTGAATACAGCAGTGAGCTAGTGTAGCTAAAGATAGTTGTTAGTTTCCTTTCTTAATCTAGGTAATAAAAAGAATAAAGACATCGCCCTACATTCACGGTGAAAACCCAAAATCACGGCAGTTAAGCACTACTACTTCTACAGTATGACAGTGAAGCTACAGAACTGTTGCCTTTTCTTGTTATAGCCAGGGACAAAGTCATCTTCACATGTCCTCCTTAGAAGGAGCACTTTCTGGGTAGCCTAGTACACAAAGTCATCTTCACATGTCCTCCTTAGGAGCACTTTCTGGGTAGCCTAGTACCATCTCCCATACTTTGCATTTTACATAGCCTCAGAAGTAGCAGAGGCTCAGAAGTAGCCTACAGAGCTGCAGAACGGTTTCATCTCAAACTGACACTTGAACACCTCAAACCACTTGAGCAGGCTTAGTAACCACAAGTGCCTTTTTCAACATTTTCCTTTCAAAATAATCTCCTTAATTAGGATAGATGTGTAAAGCTGGGAGAAACCATGAGGAAAACTAGATCTCAGTATTAGTCTCCTGTCCTTTGTGTAACTTCTCAATTCAGTTCTTATGAAACAATATAAAATTAATCGACTTTTTCAAAGAACACAAGCATATCTGAATGAGGCTAATATTGGCAAGCCCTAGAAGCACTGCAAACTTGAGTCATCAGTTGCCATAAAGCACCTACCATATGTGAACATCCGTGGAGAAGTCAGCTCAATATTTGGCAGGGCTCCCAAGTGATTCAGGACAGCACATCTGTAACCATTTTTTTGCGCATAGTCAACAAAAGTGCGGATATACTGCTTTTCGCTATGGTTAGCGATCCCAGGGCAGATTACCATTGTGACATCCTCTGCGAACAGAAAGGGGGGAAGATAAGTAAATGTCACTTCATGCAAATGTAGATTCAGAAGCTTTCTATTTCAGATCCATGGGAAACCAGAAGAAAGCCAAAATCCTACTATGCTGCCAAAGCAGCCCAGTATGAGACAGGAGACTATCAGCTCTAGTGCTAAAGATGTGAAAGTATAATTCATGTTACAAGAGATGGACAGAATTCAACTTTAGGGAAGGCTGCCCAAACAGTTCTACAGGCACTGCCTAGAGACCAGGGCTGAGTTCTTCCATATCATTCTTCAAACAAGAATATTTAATATTGCACATGTTCTGCCTCTGACTGCCCATTGTGACTGCTAAGTGTCTGGGAGCTTTGGAGCCCACTTCTCATTCACGTACTAGGTAGACTAGGCTACTTTTCCCTCATTTCCTTTCTAGATTTCTGTGTAACCAAGTCTTTAATGCTAAGCTTTGCTAAGCACAAAAAGTGAGTGTCATTAGTCATCTTCTGCTTCATAGCTTTATCACTGTTTGATCGGACAGTGTTCAGTCTTACAGGTTATCATTTTATCATATAAGTTAATATTTTAAGCACAGTATATCAAGTCCTGAATTAGCACACAGACTTCCAGCCAGCATACTCTTTGCACTTTCACTAGCAGCTCTAACTACTGTGAATTTTTGCCTCATTAGCAAAGCAGTGCTCCCATTCTTCAGTGATATAGGTAACAGTAACTGTTACTATGCAACATTGTACCACAAGTATCTCAACTCTGACATGATAAAGAAAAGAACTTGGCTTTTTCTGAAGGCCAAACTAGTCACGGGCTTACAATTAAGTCAGCTACTGCAAAGGTAAATTTACTTTTGAAGTCAAGTCACAGTAACTCAGTTTTAAGTGTTGCTGTTACTACTAGTAACAGCAAATTTGAACGCTGACATTCACTCTGACAATACATACCTAATGAAGTAGGGAATCATCAGGCTTTTCTACTTTTTAGTAGAACTTTCCAAGTCTGGACTCCCTCATACCCTATGAGCATGGGGTTTGATTCCATACAGATCTTGAAAGAGCTACTCTGATCATATCGTGAATAAAGACTAGCAAGTATCTGTCTTCAACGAGGAGACGGTTCAGCTTCTTTTCCGTACACACCAAGGCTATGAACACCCCCATGTTACTAGTGTTTGTCCTATGATCCCACTTTTAACAGGTAAAGGACACTTCAAATGCAAGTCTTACCACCAGCTTCCCTTTGCCAGAGTCTCACTTGGGGCACAAGTTACGGAACATATTTCTATTCTTCCATCCCCCATCCTTGCCACCTAAGGCTAATTAGTCCAGTAGAGCTTCTCCTGATGCCTGGGATGGTCTTGCAGCCTCCATTTGTGGGTTAGTATTGCTTAGCAGTCCCTCTCCCATCACCAGAAAAAGCATTACCCTTTCTGACAGATCAAGTAGCACTGTCCTTGCCTGTTTCCTTCCATCCCCAAGCATAGAATTGAGGCTTGCAGGTAGATGCAGCAGGCAGCTGTTTGACTGACCTCCAATGCAGTGCTCAGATCGTGGCTCAAAGAGATCAAAGGTTGCAGTTGCTCCATCTGGCATTGTGAGGTACTTGCGAAGTCCATATGGATGTGGTGATCTCACTCTTCCCATCTTCCCATAAAGGGCAGTCTGGATATGTCCACTCTTTTCCCAGATCAGGGGTGGAATGTAGCAGAAAGGGACAGCAGTTTAATTGTCTAACCCTGCAACATTACCAAGCCTTTGAGATCAGTTAAGCAATCCTATAACAGGATTTCCCCACCCCCATCACTACCAGATAGCAAAAACAATTTCATATTTGTTATTGGATGACTGAATTGGCAGCACTGATCCTTGCAGCAGCCTTACCAAAATGGGGACACAGATAAGCTCTCAAAGCCGAGAAATTAGGACAGCAGTAAAAAAGGGCTAAAGTTCAGGAATTCCTATATGGTGAAGAGTTATATGTACAAATGCTTCTCAATAGCTAGATGCCTCATGTCTTCTTAAGACTGGGACAGCATGTTGCTAACCAACCAGATTGACCTTCAAAACTTGTCAAAAGCTGTAAATCTGTTTTAATTGAAATATTGAAGCTTGTTGGGTTGAACCACATAGGAACTTGTGTAAGCACCTGACTAAATAAGTCAGGGGCAGAAACTGTACGGGATTCATACCAAGTCTTAGAAGACTCAAAGGCCATAAGTCATGCTAGTTTGGACTGTTTTATGTAGCACTGCCTCTCTGTTAAGTGAGGAGTATGGTACAGATCAGTTTTGCTTCTCAAGCAGAGTGAGAGAGTAAAGCAGAGAGCTGGAACAGGATCTATAAGAATTGGTCAATTGAGCTCCCCTGAATAACACACTTCCAAATTAAGGCGGGGGGGGGGACTTATTTGTCAAGGAGATATTGAAGCTAGGTTACAAAGCAGATTTTTCCCCCCCCCCTCTGGCATATTGCCCCTCAAGACAACATGGGGTGGAACACAGCTGTTAGTTGGAAGGGGTTAAAAGCTAGTTATCCATTTTGTTAGTGCCAGCAGATCTGCCACATGGTAACAGGAGGCATACTACTGCCCAAGTGGTGGTGGGGGCAGTCACCAGGCCACTTTGCTGGAGACAGTGAGCAAATGCCTTGAAAAAAGATGGTTACATCAGCTCTCAAAAAAAAAAGCATGAATGATTCATTATTTAGAACAGCCCCAAGGGACGTACTTCCAACTAGGGAACTGTGCTCTGCGTAGCAGAGAACATGTTATCCACAGCTAGCTGAGCGCTGCTGACACTACCTTGGAACCTGAGATATTAGCACCTCCCTCCCCTTTGTTTTTAGGGCTTCCTGCAATTATTTTATTTTATTGCTCGAGCCCATAGCAGGGAGAGATCTTGTTCTTTCATGTTCTCCCAGTTCATGGAGAACTGGGCAGTTCTGAGATTATCAGATTTATTCTAAGCCCATAACCCCCTAGTATGTGACTGGACAGGAGCCTTTCCTTTATACTCTGACACTGTCCACACGGTTGGACCTTCTTCCTCATGTCACCTTGATGTACCATATCTAGAACTCATCATCCCCACATACTCCTTTAAAAAAAAGGTCTTTCTATAAGATAGGAAGAGTCAAGGCTTGTTTAGCAAGACAAGAGCAGCAGTTCTAGGTAAGTCAGGGCAAAATTAGACTAAAACCTTTACACATGTGGGGAAGAGAAGGGCAAATCCTGCCTAGAGGAAGGTAACATTTTGCTTTAAGAAAAAAGCTCCAGCTCAAGCTGGATGGATGAATATTAGCATTTTAACATTAGTGTATCTGCAGTCCCTCATCTCTAAAGCATATGCAGTGAGCAATTCTAAACTTCAAATCGGAGCCTGGAGTTGTTTCTTTAGGCCAGAGCCCCACAAGGTTTTGATAAGCTGGTGACCAAGGATTTTGCAGTTTGTTCTAAGACACCTTCACTTAGCTGGCTTGAGGCAAACATGTCTGCCTATCAGGCATACTATGCAGGACAAACAGGGGGTGAAAAGTGATACCACTGCTTCAATTGTCAGCTATTAACCTGAAGATACAAGTTACCTTTAAGCAGGTGCTATTCTGTTTAGCAAGTTTCTAGACCCAGCAGAGAAAACCATCACTGCAAATACAGAATTACCATTTTAATAATGTGCATTCTGGCTTCCAGAATGCACAAGAACTATACCCCTGTAGAGGACAAAGACAATTAATACCATTGTAAAGACTGAAGTTCACCAGTACTCACAAGGCAAAGACACAAAGCCACTACACAGCTGAAAGACCATTTGAACTATGTCCTCAGAAGAAAGATGTCTTCTAGCTCTAGCACCTCAAGACAGGTGTTAAGTTTTAAACACTGTTTCACCCCCTATTGTCTTTCAGACTGCTTCACCAGGAAGCAATAGTTTGTTATAGCTCAGGACAAGCAAAGGGGCCCTCTGACACAGGGCAGAGAGACCAAGTGGAATTTCAGCTCAAAGCAAGGATCAGCCAGACCTGTAACAGAAGACACTATGGAGAAGTCAAGGTGCTGGCCTGACACAGGTTCCCGGAGAACTTTGACATGGCCCGTCCTTCTCCCCATGCTCTTTATTCTTCTTTCTCAGCCACAAGAGAGGCATTTCAAAGAAAATGCAAAGCAACACAGTAGCTCACTCTACAGATTCACTCAGTTCTTGCAAGTGCTCTTCCCAAAGAGACCTAAAAGATGTAGAAGTAGATACCATTTCAAGAAAAGCTACATGAGCAGCCAACAGATGCCTGGTAACCTTGTAAGTTGGCCCTAACTGTATCTTGGATTCTACTGTCCAACTACAAAGCTTTTAGAAGAAGCTACACGAGGATTAGGGGCATTTATCAATCTTTTATCAGCCCAGCATCACTACACTGGGAGATATGGACACTGCACCTGGGTGCCTGCCAAGCAGTGTGCAACATACCAGCCATGCAAAGACCACCAGCACAGATGTAGACTGCACAAGCTCATTCTCTACAACTGCCAGTAGAAATGGAAAGTCAGTGGACATGTTTTCATGATTCAAAGTACACACGTAAGGATAGCATAGTCACTTATAGGATGCACAGTCCTATAAGGATGCACAAGCAGGACTACTGATAGCTCTACCCAGTTGATGTACATTTCACTGCATAGGATTTTGAAAGTTTCCAGGACTACCATGCCAAACAGGTGACACTGCTCTTCCAACCCATGCAAAGCAGCTAGCTTCACCCCACTCATTTAAGACTGTTTCAGTCTGGTAACCATATCCTATGCTAAACAGCGCTTGACTGGCTTTTTACAGAAGTCCTTTGTGGCTGGATTTTGCCAGCAGCTCTTTCCTGATGAGGGCCATCAAATACAATCTATAGTAAGAATCTGCAACTCTTCTAGAGACTCAGATGTCAACTTTGTTGCATTGGCTCTAATCCTAGGAAAAGCACATGCACTGAAAAGTTTAGTGCTCTGTAGAAACAGTCACTAGTTTATCAAGAGGATCCCAGGTAGAATCCAAAGTCTTACCCCATAAGGCTAGCAGGAAAGCTATTTATCCAGCTATAGTAGTTATATAGCTGTAACTGATTAATGCTACCACCTTGGTGAAAAACCAAAACTCTCTGCAAGCTCCACTTGTTCCCTCATTTATTTACAAATCAGTTGCCAGTTATAAGTTATAGCCATGCAGTGCAATAGATGCAGTAGCTGCAGCAGCACATACCACAGGATATCGTTACTCAGGAAATTAGAACTGTCAAGACCTCACCATTACCACAACTTAAGTATAGACAAACGGCTTCCAGATTATCACTTATCAACACTGCTTACCACGGCCTGCTTCCTCAGGTCACAACAAGCTTCTTTGGAAAGAGTCCCTCTGACTGCCTTCAGAAAACCTGACTGAAGTTACCTGAAGAACTGATCTTCAGGATCTTATATCATTTTTACACAGGCAAACAGAACATGCAGTTTCATTGAGCTGTGCTTCATGAGAGAAAGACTGAAAATAAGTCAGGAATCCCCACGACTCCACCCATAACGATGGGCAGATGCTGCCTATGAATTCTAAATTCCCATCTGAAAACTAGGATTGTGTTGAGCCCTATGAACAAGCATACATTCACTTTCTCCCTTCAGAGCACACAAGCTGGTATGTAGTATGCTCAGAAACCAAGAAAGAAAAACACTCAGCTTATCCTTTAAGCTAACTCCAGTCAGCTTAAGTACTCACTCCGCATGAAACTATACTCTTCTAGGTGAATATTCAAAGGTCAAGTTCCAGCATGAGTAATGTACATAGGACAGCACTCTGATACAGATATTTATTACTCCTCCATGAATCTAAGTATACTTCTGCAGTTTGTACTTAGCAGTTATCAAGCTCTGAAATACATGAAAACATTAGGTTGTCAACCTGCTATCTCACCTACCTTTTCCTTCACCACCACCCACCTTTAAGCAACAGGTGGATGATAAGATAGATATCCTAGAGGTCCCTTAAGCACCCAGGCTCAGGAAACTCAACATCATAAAACTTCAACAGGGAGGAGGAAAAGAAGTTGCCCAGGTTGAACAAATCTCACGTAACTAGGGAAAAGCTAAGATTTTAAACTCACCTTCTCAGATTTATAGCTTGCTTATCTTTAACTTAAAGCCTAATATATATTTAGACATCATTTCCAGCTGCTTTTGTATCAGTCTAACCTACTAGACAACCCTGTAAAGCACCCCCTCCTCCAATATTTCACTGAGAAACTCCTGGGTTACAGCAAAGAGCGAAGATGAATGCAAATCATTTCAGAGCCCACTTTCAACCAAAAATTTGTTTGATACAACAATTAAATCTATTTCAGCAAATTTGTCACTCAAGTAGTAGAGGATGATCACAAAACTTCAGGGATCAAACTCGATATATGCTACAGGTAAAGAAAGATAATCAGTATTATCAGGGCTACATCATTTGTTTACTGTTTTTCAAGAAACCAACAGGAACAGCACTATCTTAGCTGTAGTTGCTGCAGTATCAATTAGTTTGAAGACTGACCCTGAGCAAAGTCTGTTCATCAAAAAGTCAACAGCTTATCTAAGAATGTACCAACCTCTCAATATCAAGTTGCAGGATGGTAGAAAGAAAGAAGAATGCTGCTCTAGAATCAAGGGAAGGTATTAGTAAGGCATCAGGTATAAA